GGACGATTTGAATGTGTTGGAGCCTTGTGATTGCCAAATTCCTACAATTTGAGAGTTGCAATCACTTGTGTATGAATGAATGATGAATGGCCCATATTGAGATTTGTTTCGAACCTAGATTATTGCTTAAATTAAAAATATCAGGGGTTCCAATCACAATTGTCTCTAACATTATCTTGCTTAGTGTACTTGGAGTTGTTTGATGATTGGTGGTGTGAACTATAGGTAATAGTGAGGTGCCATGAGAATCCTTGATAATGAGTGGCTTTACTTCAATTACCTCTTGGTCGTGTGAAAGTGTTTGTATGGAGGTTAGGACATGTGTGTGAGAGTTCCCAAGTAGGACTCCTTAATGGTTTGCAAAAAGTTCTCCAATATGATTTTTTTTTTTTTTGAAAAATTGAGGTTCTCACGTGAGAAGCAACCATGCATAGTCTTTGAGTTGAGATGTCAAAGGGCTCTTCTCTCAGTTCGGAGTGTCATTGAGGATGTGTTTGGGGTTCGGATAGCTTTCTACCATCTCGGTCATCTTTCACTACCTTCCATCCCCCAAACACCTCTCCTACTCACGGACTCGTATAGCAAGAAACAAAGTCTATTTTAGTGAGTCGCGAGACCTCGACTCTTGTTTGCACACGACATGTGTGGCAACTCGTTTATCTTTGAGACATAGAAGTGCAGGTTGGGAAGAAGTGCTCGGCAATGAATCCGACCATCATCTTCCCACATGGGGCCTTGATAGGGGAGGCTATGTTTCTTTCACTCTTGGTCACCAGGGAGAGATGCCTTTATTAGCAAAATTGCTAAGTGGTGTCGTGCATGGCAAGTTTAAGTTGAGTCCTCTTTTGAAAAGTGAGATCACCACCATGGAGTCCTTGGATTTTCAATGATTTCTATGAGTCCTCCAGTGCACACGGAAGATTCTAGACCTTCTTAATTGACAAGGTCCTCAACTGAGAGTGTGCTTGGCACAAAGAGATGCAAGTAAAGTTTACCCAACTTAGATTATTCTCGAGCCACCAACAATGATTGATAGTGCATACTATTGTTTTTGTCGTACAAGTTGTACTGGTTAGAGCATATTTGCTTGGGGACAAGCAAACGTTCAAGTGTGAGGTTTGATTTGGGTTAGATTACACACTTTTATACCCATTTACTTGCGACATTTGATGAATTTTCATCATCATTGGAGCTAGATTACGCAGGGTTTGTTCGTTGTTTTGTCATATTTCATACCTAAGCACATAATATTGGCACCGAGATCAAAAGTCGAACAAAAGAGGGCGAAATTGGAGCAAAATGGTAAAAAAAAATGCGAAGGTCATGGCAAGGCAGAGATTATTATGGGTGGCAGATCGTGATGTCAAAACTTAGACCGCGAAGATCGCAATGTTTCAGGAGGGTTTGTAGAGCTCGCATGCACTGCAAAGTCACGGTCTCCCGACCGTGAAGTAAACAAGACCATGAAGTTAGCTAGTGAAACGACATGTTTTGTGCCAAGATCACTGTTTCACTGCCTACTTCACGTGCGTGAAGTTGGACAGTGATTTTTACAGTGGGGAGCTATAAATAGGAGAGTGAGCTGAAGGAAGAAATGAGCGAGTCCTAGAGAAAGATTGAAACTTCTTCTTCAAGGTTTAGAGACGGCGAGAGCTACGAGCTAAGAAAGAATGAAGAAGGAAGGAGAATTTCACCTACCAAAGGCTAGAGGAAGGTTGATTTCTTCTTTGAATGTTGAATCAATCATCTTAAAAGAAGGAAGATAAACTTTCAATATTTCTTTTTCTTTTATCATATTTGTATTTTCTCCTCTAGCTATTGAGTAGTCTCCAATTTCACTTGTATGTTGTACCCTAGTTTGGATGTGTTGGATTGTAGGAATTAAACTCTACGTGTGTTGAGCTTGTGATTTATAAAATGATTGAGCTATTATTCATGAAATTTGGGTGATTGTTGATCATATCTCTCAAATTAGGGACAAATGGACCTAGAAGGAGGAAATCAAGGATTGAAATACCGTACCGAAGGTCGTACCGGAAAAGTCAGTGGTAGGGTATTTTATGCTAAAACCGTGGTTTAACCATGGTTCAACCATATTATGCCGCTAAATACCGCGTACCGGTTTGCTTCCGATAGAAGGTTTTTCAGGTCGAACCGCTGGTACGGTACGGTATTTTAATCCTTGGAGGGAATCCACTTATAGCCCAATTTTGGCAATTCGCGTAACCTTCTCTAGGGGAATTCGAGTCATCCCTCGATCATCAAAGTAGTGCCATGATTTAGTCTTGATTGGTTACTTTTCTTCATCAAAGTAGTGCCATCATTTAAGACCAAACTACTGGTCCTATTTCATTTCTCTTCTCATACCAATAAGGGCAATAAAGGTAAATTTCACTTCATACATACAAATCTAATTAACCAATCCCATCATGAAATCTATGAAACAAACAATGGTATTTTTCAAGTCCATGATGAACCCAAAACCCTCATACATCCATGGTTATACAAAACCCAAGTTTTACCTAAACCTTCATTTTTCAAATCCACGAAACAAACGACCCCTTAGTTTCCTTAGCTTTAACCACAAATCAATCATTAGATGACGTGTGAACAATTAAAGTAAGAGTAGATAGATCCAACGATTTGATATTGAAATACTTGTCCTACCCTACACCCATCTATAGGTTGCACTTGGCCTATATTTGAGATTGTTTAGTGGCAGCCGAATCAGGAGGCTCTACTTGACAACCCTCGTCGCCCAAATCATGAAAGCCAAGTATCACAAGAATACTTCGGTCTTAGATGCTTTTATGGGCTACCATCCCAACTTCTTCTGAAGGAGCTTAATGAGCGCTCATGAGTTCTTATGTGCAGGCCTTCGGTGGAGAATCGATAATGGGGAAAAGGTGAGGATGTGGAGAGATTGCTGAATCATTGGTGGCACTGCTGACTTCATTGATGAGGCACCGTGCGAATTGCCAGTTGATGCAAACATTCGAGAACTTATAAACCCATATACGGAACAATGGGATTGGGATGTGATAACTATATGCCTACTAATAGATATTGGGCAAGGAGTTCTTCAGATACCATTGTGAGGGAATGGCGAAAGATATAAACTTATATGGGTAGTGAGTGAATCGAGAGAGTACTCTATGAAGGAAGGATATAAGTTGTGGTTGAAGAATTTCCTACTCAACCACCAAGTTACCTAGGTTGGAGAAGTAGCGACATGGAAGAAGCTATGGGCAATGAAAATTCATCCTAAAGTAAAGCATTTTATGTGGCGCTTTATGAGAGGGATTCTACTCACTAGAAACCAAGTTAGCACAAAGAGCAAGAAGTGGGGAGATAGGTGTCCTTTCTGTGACACGCGTGAAACACAGATACACATTTTTGGGGGAGTGTGAATAGATTACTAGGCTGTAGAGGTTACCCGTATATGTGGATTGCTATTCCTGCAGGGCTTCTAAACATTGTTATAACTGGTATCGAATGTAATGGAGACAAAGAGTAATGAAAAGGTATAAGATTGGTTCGCGCTCTTTGGTAACTCTAGCGTGAATGCAATGTGCTCCGGTTTAACGATATGAAGATAGAAGAACAGAAGATTCTACCAAGAACCAAGCTTTTCCTTGACGATTACCGAACTCAGCAAACAAATAATGTGGCTCATGTTATGGAGGCGGCAATGGCTAGATGGATCCCTCCACCTCAGGGCCACGTAAATATCAATATGACGTTGCAATTTTGCCAGGCGGAGGCATAGGCCTTCGAATAGTCACGAGTGGTTCGAATGGCTACTTCCTGATGGTGGCAGCAGATAAAGAGTCGCGACGGTGGACTGGGGAAGAAGCTGAGGTTGTAGCAACAAACATTGGGTTGCAGCTTCCCCAAAAACATCATATCTTGAACCCTATTCTAGAGACGGACAGTCTTGGGTTGGCAAACAAACTCCATGATGCGGAGCTAATTGATTCGCAAACAGGTGTAATCTGCAAAAGCATTCGACATATACTTGGTGGTATGGGACTGGGGACTTGGCAACACGTACCTCGTGATGGAAACTATGATGCTCACTTCATGGCGCATTCGGAAACGCGATGGGAAGAATGTATTGTTTCGCTGGATAGACCACCTATTTTTTTCATTCTGCAGTTACAACTAGATAATGTAATGACAGACTCTGGTTAATAAGAGTATATCACAGATTACGCCCAGGTGTACACTAACTTACAGTATGCTCATTGATTTTTGCTATTTAGATCACAAATTAATCGGAGTTTGGGGCATGATAGTATACCCTAATCTCTAATGGGTGAACCCCAGTCCTTAAATTTCTAGCCCAAACCATGAGATTCGTCTAATCTTAAAATAATAACCAACGGTTCTGATTCATCGAAATATATTAATGTACAAATAATAGGCATGAACGGGGGCGTACGCTAGCCTTTGCTGTATATATATTAGAAATACGTATGTGCGGTTTAGTTGGTGATTATCGTGTTGCTAACTATTGTAAGGGTTAACATCATTTTCCTCTCGTTTATTTTAGTTTTATTTTTATAGTAGAAATAGTATTATGTTTCCTAATTAAATAGAAGTTGATTTTGTATAGGGAATTTTTCATGCGAATTTTATAAAGCCTTGAGTACTAGACAAAAGTATTATGTCGAGTTTTCTGTGTGAGTTCACAACTGAATTGTACGCATGAAATCGCTTAAAACTTTATCAATTCATCACCAAGATTGTTGGTCATTCGTTAAGCTTGAAGCTGTATTTTCGTGCTTCAACTAGTTATAACCAGCTTTATTTCTTCACTTTTCTTTGATGTTTTGTATCGTTAGTTTGGTGCATACTTTGATTGGCGATGCTAAGTCCAACTTATTAACTAGCCTAATATCATACTCCAAAAATCCTTTTTGGGTTTTGTTTTGACCGCCAACTTCCTCGATTTTATATGCTTGAGGGAAGTTTATGGAAGTGAGAGGGATTATAATGACCATACTTCCTCACATTTGTGTAAATGAATATACTTAAAAGGAGACAGTTATAATTGTGTATTATTGTACTTTGTTGGTATTGTGCTCGAAGCACCAAATCTAGAAGAAAACAATAACAAAATAGTAGAACAATAGTGGTTCAACTTTAGAAAAGCCAATTTCCAAGTGTTTTTCACTCGAAATCAGGCTTTTCCGGGTATGTGCAGCCAGACCTTTGGATGACAACATTGGACGCATAGCAACCTGCTCTTACACATTCTTCAATGGGCTTCTTTTGAACCAACTGCGACATAAATCCTCCGACAAACGCATCACCTTTGTAAACAACACATAGAAATGGGTTGGTTATTGGGTCATTGTTTACTCAATCGCCAGATAGTTAACTTCCACCATGAATACTAAATATGGAATGAAATATTGATCCCCGTTACGAACCTGCACCATTTGTGTCGACTAGCTTCTCTTTTGGCAATGGAGTGACAGGAAAAGTCCTCACATTCCCATCTTCAGCAACAACCACAGGATCTTCACCTTGAGTTATGACAGTAATCCTCTTGTATGTTCCTGATGCCTTAGGCCATTGCGATATCTTGATAGCTATTTCTTTCACATTCTTCGTCTGGTCAATATGGAGATTAATTCGTCTAAATAAGATTAACATAAAAATATCTCACAAAGAAAAGTTAAGATTGGTTTAGTACACATTCGATTTGGTTACCTCCCAACCATGAACTTTTGAGAAAGTTCTTGCTTCAGTTTCGTTTCCAAATACGAAGTCCACGTACCTGCAGTACAGATTCAATGGAGTCACCATGTCAAACAAGGCAGCTAGCTGTGAGCTTGATGAGGTTATTATTTATTAAGATAATATGTACGGCAAACTCACGGAAGGACTTTCTCTTGTGCATCCCTGAAGAACTCACAGATGAATGGAGCTGAAAGGTTCATAGTGAACACCTGCAGTCACATTCTCATTCATCACCAAATAAAAACAGTTTAGAGTTTCTTAACACACAAAGAGAAACAATCCAACAATATACCTTGTTGGTTGCGGCTGCATATTCAGCAACAAGTTGGATGGAGTCAGGGGACACAGTAAGGAAGAATCCAGCAATGTAGAAGTACTTAGCCTTCTCAACTGTATGAAAAAAATAGAACCTCTCCCAAACAAGTTAGTTCCTCCATATTTCCAAGTGCATAATAACAACAGAAGGATAGATATCTCTTAGAGAGGAAGGAAAGTTGTTACCCAGTGCCCAATTGGCTTGTTTCCTGAGATGGTCAGACTTATAGCAGTTTGCTGCTGATAGATTTGCTACAAGTGATCTACATGTATAGAAAACAAAAGGCTCAATAGTTAAGATCACAATGGAAAGTGGAACACTTTAATTCTGAATAGGATGAATTGAATATTATGAACAAACCTTTCACCTCCAAGGACACAGACAGCACAAGTTCCTGTGGGTGTGGATTCATCCTCATAATAGCGAACCTATATTTATTTTGAATTCGAAGCAGGAGAGTTAGGTAAGTATAGTGTAGTGTGAATTCAAGCAAATTTGAAAAGAGTGAGGATCAACAGAAATTCTCACATTAACACCAGCAAGTTTACAGTTTTTCTTCATTTCCTCCCCAAACTTGTCCTTCCCAATACACCCAATGTAACTTGTTGCACCAGGAAACTGAAGCATCCACTGGAAAAAGAAAGGGACAAAAAGTTTGCTTTGGTACTGGAATAAAGATTTGATCCAATTTACTTATGTTGCCTAAGAGTATATTCTGAATTTATACCTGAGCCACTTTGATTGAGTTTTGAGTAGCACCTAACAATAATAATAATAAAAAGATTAAATGATCCATCACCATAAAAAAAACTACCAAATACATGCGTTGTTTTTTTTACCTCCTGCAATAAACTCCACTTTGTAGTTTTTGGCCATTTCTTCGTACCTGAGATACAAAGTTTTTTCTTTCATGTCAAATGATAGTTCGCTTAACAGACACATTTTTCACTTCAACTTATGAAGAACCCAAATATTTTTAACTAAAAACTAGTAATCGAGATCTCACAATTCTACTAGAGCATGAAAAAGAATTGCGGGGAAGGTCGAAATCATCATAAGTAGAAAAGAAAAATTATCATCTCATAGGCAATACGTTTGAACACTTACATGGGAAAATGCTTTTCCTCGGCGAGGATCGCATTGTTCAACTTGATATCATATCTGTAAAGAGAATAAAAACATAAATCGGTATCAAATTTCGAAGAGAATCAACAAACCCAAAATCCAAATTGTGGGAAAGATCTAAAACATTATATACTTGTTCAAGAAATCTTGGTCCACGACCGCAGATATATCCAACAATGGATTTCCCATCCCTAAGAGAATTCCCTCAGAAACACCCATGATAGCGTGAAGCTAAAACTCTTCTCAAACTTGATCACAACAGAATTGATGTAGGAAAATGGCCAAGAGGCAAAAGGAGACCCGATGAATGAAATAACAAGATGGTAACAGATTCACAAAGAGCATATGTATCTTGTGTAAATGGAACAAGATCTTAAGATTGAGGAGGGGAATGAAGTGGTAATGTGCTAATTCTTTTATCACATGAAATTCCTGGAGACAAACAGGGGGGAATAGGTGGTAGAAGAGTATTGCAGTTTGCAATCATTCTCCAATTTTTCTGGTGCTGCCACCACAATTTTTTCTAATGGGCGGCATGGAATTTGTGTGAAAGAAAGAAATATAAGCAAAACTATAGTTTACGCTTCCATGTTGAAAATATCGTAATTAATCCAAAACGTATTTTAAAAATATATGTCCACGAGGTAGAAGATTAAAATTTTAATAACTGAAATGTAATATATATTGATAGGTATCATTTTATAAATCCATTCAACATGTGGCAAGAAAACTTTTATTTAAACTGAACTAATTGTGCATTTGACTTCTAACCTAATGAATATCGTTACTAAACACGATTTACACATTTTTTAACAAAGTTCAAACAAGTTTGTTCGATGTTTTTTATGATCTTTGAAACAAAACTACATTAAATTTATCTATTCGTATAGAGGTTCGGTGAAAGTTCTAGAACTACAACTATTCCTAAAATTGTAGAGAAAAAGATAACTAAGACACTGGATTGTCTAGCGTGAATTTGGCGACCCACTCCTTTGTCATTTACACCTCCTACTTATAGGTACAAGAAATAACTACCTTGAGAAACTACTCGAGTGACATGGAGTGATAGTTACCTCTGCACAGCTTCGATGATGCCTCGTATTGATAGTTGTCCCCTCCTTAGTCTTCTTAGCTCCTCTTAGCTTTGTTGGTGTCGAGAAAAAAAAACTAAGGCATAAAGGTCCCCTCTTGTCACATATGAATCGATACTCCGATAACTGGGGTCATAAAGGTCCTCATCACATTGAGGCTAGCCCAATGTCGATAAAAGAATCGGTTACGTAAAGCTTGTTAAGAAGGCATGTGATAGTAAAGTGCACCAGATTAACAACTTTTTTAGTACTATGTGATGTATGTTGGGAGTTACATTTTCCATTGTCTACTTTTCAGAGTGCTCTTCCTCGATATGAAGCTTTTACATTGCTTGCACGGAGTTGTGTGTTTCAATGATAGTCTTCAGAATTGGTGCAACACATTCTTCTCCTCGCATAATCTCTAGAAACTCATGTAATGCTATTTGGGTGTTGAAGCTATAGTTTCCTTCAGAGGTATAAAAAATGACGCCCATACTGCAAAAATTTAACAACATTTGGTCTGGATTTGAGCCACTTGGGCCGCCATTTTTCTCTAGGCAGGATTGCTGGTCCTTTTACATCTCCACGATGGACTTGACTTCCTCCTCCTGTAACATAAAACTTTTCATGGTTTTAGTAGCAGGAGATGGTAATCCCTTTATAGACGATAGAATCCTCAACCTTATGGAGTAAGATTCAACATCTTCCTTCGTTTTCCTTCATTTGAATTCATGGGGTATATACTCTTGTTTGTGGTTAGGATTCATGGGAGACTCCTAAGAGGAGTAGGATTGACCATAATTCTCCTTATCCATGTTTCCAAAATTTAGATGTTCGAAATAAAAAATGTCTCCCCTGGGAGCTTTTCCCACCATTTTGGAGATCACATAAAATGGGTTTGCTTCCAAAATTTCAGCATTTTTCTATCTCGCTTTTACCAATTACATATATGAATTTTTTTGTTAGGTAGGAAAGTGATGTGAGCATTCTGCAGCACATGATTCATTCCCTTTTTCATAATTTTTACGTCTATATGACTTAAAGTTCTGCCTGGCCACTACATAAAGCTCCATAATCATACCTAGGTTGAGTTCTAGATAATTCTCTACAGTCTTAGATGATGAGGTACCATTTTTCCCCATATTGGAGTTTCCATTTTAGCTTCATATGTCAGGTTCTTAGCCTTTGTTTGACATTCATGGATCAAAGTCTCTTCATAAACTGATTTTGGATGAGTGAATTTAGATCTATCAAATGTTTCATGAGGTTCTAAGCTATGTGTGCTAATAATTTCAGCAACTAAGAGAGTTATTTGTTCCTCCATTCTGAAATTTTGTTGGTTACTACGATTGGAGGCTTCTTGATTCTGCTGTTCGATATAGCTATAGAAGCTATATGGATTTTACCTTGGAAGATAGCTTAGGGCACAACCCTTGTATGCACAATCTCGTCCCTCATGACCCTCTTCCTCGCACAACTCGCAGACTGAGATATGTGTTGTTGTTTTGTTCATTTTGCTTTCATGGCCTGGAGTACTTAGTATGATAGTGCGTGCAATCCCAGTCATATGGAGGATAGGAGAGATTTCTCCTTTCCTGTTCTATCACAGGGATAGTCAGAGGAGGGGGATGATGTTGGAAGCTATGTTCATAGCTTGAAACCTGGTGGATTCGAATAATTTTCGTGCACCCACGCCTCTTGGAGTTTCAGGTTCAGAGGGTGGTTTGTCACCTTTTGCCTATGAACACTTATGAAGGAGAGGGTTAATGGACAAGATAAAAAAAGATGGTATCCATTGGGTTTCCTGGATTTGGTTAACACCCCCCATGGCTCTCCCTTTTTATATCAGGTTTTGAAAACTCCTATGGAACTTGCCGATCCCGCCGAAATTGAAGTTTCTCTTTTGGAGAGTTTCTAGGAGTTTTCTTCCATTATAAATGATTCCCTTCACTAAAAATATTTGTGAACAATATTGGCTCGCTCTAACTAAAACTTCCCAATTGAAAGCCCTTTTAACCAATGATTGGCTGTAGCATACGGTAAACAAGTAAAACAATTATCAAACCATTGGTCTCTAGGTGCACCTTACTTCGGCTCAAGGTTTCATTATCTAGACAACCTAGAATAGTGATTAAGAATCTAATCTAACTACACTAACCTAACCGCTACTCTATCTAATTACAACTCATGGAGCTCTCTTGGCTTGAATCACCCTAGTTCCGTCATTTAGACCGATGTTGCATACCATCCAAGGTCAATTGACTCGATATCCTACTGTTAGGAGATTTACTCTCTCGGGATTGCCCCGGAACGACAAAGTGATGGATTGGTAAGTGTTCTATTGAACCTAGGGAGACCCTATATCATTATAAGATCATCGAATTGGCTCCCTCGGAGGATTATCCGGACGACATAGAATGAGGAGTGACCCTAATTGCCAAGAATGAGCTAAAAGGGGATTTTCTCTTCCTAGGTCAAAAGCTCAATTGACGTGAAATGGAATCCAAACTCATGCAATACATAACAAACATCCATCAAATAGATAATATGAACAATCAAACATAGGATTAGTCACATACATTAACATCTCATCAAAATCTAGACCTAGACCTAGGGTTCCTCAACCTAAGAGAAGAGGGCTAACTCATAAAAAGAATAGAGAGGTTACAAACTAGCTCAAGATCTTCATCTTCTTCATCTTTTATGCTTGAATCCATGACTCCAATATCAACCCAAGCCTCAAATTAAGCTCCAAGATGACTGATTCTCTCCCTCTCTCTAGATATGCCTCTATAGGTGTTTTGGGTCGAAACCCTAAAGAAAAACCAAGCTCCCCTTTCAAAACCCGCAGCTGCCTCTTTTATAGCTAAATTGTGTGCGAGTCACAGTCTCAGGTCACCACCGTGATCACGGCTCAAAATGCAGAGTACTGCGCCGACATCACGGCCTCCTCGTTATGGTAACTATATGAGGCCATGACGTGAACAGTGACTGCAAGGTGCATTGTAGCCCCTACAACCATGTAAGTGTCACGACCTGCTTGCTGAGGTCACGGCCTAAGGCCGTGATCTAATCATCTTCTTCACTTTTTGACGTGCTTCGACCTCCAATCGTCATGAAACTCATCCCCTACATCACCCACGCGTACTAGAATCTAAAATGTGACAAAAATAGCACAACATAGCCTAAAATAGGTCGAGGAACGATGATAACTAAGGCAAAAAGTCAATATATAAAGGAATAAAACATGTGTAAATACGCCCGAATCAAAAACAGAATGTCCAATCTGTCTTTGTGGTGCATAATCATTTTTGCATTTTTTTTCCACTGCAGGATAGCATGGGGCATATGGAGACTTGCAGGACTAGATCTCAACCGCATCCATTTAGTTTCTCTCCATTTATCCTATGTGAAAATAGCTAATATGGTGTTCTTATGTTGGCACATTTGGAAAGGTATATGTTGGTCCATTCATGGCATCATTCAATATCAGCGACCTGGCCTACTTCGCTAGTTTAGGGTACAAATTGATGAGTTGCAAGCAGTTGTTGGTCTTGCTGTAGGGGCTCCTTAGCATCGATAGCAAACCTTCGCTCTTACATTGGTGAGTACAGGCAATCTGTCAAGGGAGGTTACTATAGCATTTTTGCAAAGTCTGGTGGCCTCTATTTAGTTCAACGACTTCGTAAAGCGTAGCCAGGGTGGTGGAATTGGCTACCTGGGCTTTGAATCCTCAGGGGTTAAGAATTGTTTTTGATCCAATCCGTAGGAATCAATAAAAAAGGCAAATCCCTTATGATACACCAGATCCGGCTCGGTTATTGATAGAGTGAATAGATCTGCCATTTCTTTGAGCTTCGCCTTTGGAAAGTACAACAAAGGTATGCAAAATTCATTCTTCGTGGATTTGTCTTTACAAGATGCCATGAACTAGTGCCTAACTCATAGTGTTCTTTCTATTAAATTTCATGGTGACTCTCAATTGGTTATTCAGCGAGTGATGTCTAGAGATCTAACGCACGATTTAAGGGTACCAATTGATGTAAGGCCAAATATCTCGGGCGTGAACTGGGAGCTCGGACCATGATATCGGGAAAAAGCGCACCGTTTCATTTA